GTCCTCGACATTTTGATCTTGTTTGATGACATTTTGGACTACCATATCGGTGACCTATCGGATTCTATCCCGGTGACTTTCGGTGTTGTCTACCTCCCCCATCTCCTTCGTCTCTTCTCCCACCTTTCATCTCTGTATGCGTGTACGAGGCCTGAGCATCTTCCATGTATGGCTCAGACCCAACCATCTCACGATTGTATGTGTGTGGAGTGATATCTGTGTGAGTCAGTCTGTAATCAGACTTCCGCTGCATACATGCTCATCCTATATTGGTTGATCTTTGGTTCTGCCCCATACTCGTTGATATTCTCACGAGTATGTAACAGTTTTGGTATCGGAGCAGACCATTTTACGGATCTGCTCACCAGGTAAGTCTGATTAGGAATTAGATTGCTTCTTCAATCTTCCAAATCAGCTCTGTATTACTATCGAGTTCAAAGTTGCAATTTTTTTTCTTTTCTTTTTTCGGTATTCTGTTTATTTCGGCATTTCCGTTTCAATTCGGTATTCGGACTTATGATTCGGATTTCTGTTTTACTCCGGTATGCTGTTAATTTGAGTTCCGATAAATTGAAACTAATCCGAAATTCTTTTAATTCGGATTTCTGATTAGTGATTCGTGATAGGTTGAAATCAATACTCTGTTTAATTTGGCATTCTGATTTTCAATTCGGTTTTCGTTTTTTTATAATTCAATATTCTGATTTCAATCCTGTATTCCGTTTTCTAAATCGACATTTCCTTTTTACTGCAGTGTGGGAAATTAGAATTACAAAAATTTTTGGTTTTCAATCAACTTGGGAAATTCGTACGTTTTGGGAACCGTAATCCAGAAATTCCGCCGAATCGCGGGAAATTAGGGTTGGGCCCGAAATTTGCGCGAATTTTTTTTTTTTGTTTCCTTGTTTGAGAAATTCTAAAAACGGATTAGGGGAATCCCCGAAATTTCACGTTTTTGAAAATTCGAGTGTTTTCTCCGGATTTTTTTCCGAATTTTTTTTTGGCAAACTAATCCGGATCTGACCCTCAAATTGCAACTTCCGGTAGTTCCCTAATTAACGGTGAACTCCCGGACTCAAAGATGATCTCAACAGATATCTAATCTTGATAACAACTCAAATTCGTTCATAATCATTATTGCAAATATTGATTTATCAATTATCATTAAGAATTATTATTTCGTATTAATCATTAATTAAATTTATTGATTAAATAATTCGTTATTATTATTCTTATTACGAATTTTTCGAGTTGTTTACGGGAAATTTGTTTTTTTTTCTGTTTTGATTAGGTGTTTACGTCCATCATTGGGACAGGGACTGTATGTATATTGCTTGATCTGTTCTATCTCTGTGCCCACCCTCTCCCTCACACTGTTCTGCGACCTTCGGACGAGCGAGCCTTCAGCAGCATTTCTGATGCCAGCAGGGCAAGCCATCGAACAACAGCCACGATGCAGCAGAAGGATCGCAGATCTCCAACAACAACAGCCACCTGCAGATCGACAACAGCCTCAGACCAGCACTCAGATGGCGAACACGTCAAACAGCGGAACGCCATCTGAAAGTTCGACATCTGGCAAGGCCGAACCCTTACCGGTCTGTCCGGTGGAAGGGCCGAATGAGCCCCTCCCGGACTTCATTCAGAGAGTGCAGGACTATACAGCCGCACTTAACCTTGCCAAAGAACGACAAGAGGCTGCCGACGCAGAGAGACTACGGCTAGCAGCAGAAGCTGCAGCCCAAGCCCAGCGTCAAGCTGAGGCAGACCAGTTGGCGACCGATCAGCTCAACGTCGACAACGCTGAACTTCTGATTTCTAGCCAAGAACAGTGGACAGCGGTACTCAACAGGATGCCCTATGTTCCCGTAGCCGGCACCGAGCCAACGACAGTGCAACAGGAGAGGCAAAACCTGGCAGACATTCTACTCAACACGATGCACGCAGTCATATGGAACAACACCATGGGGGAACTTCATTCCAAGTCCACACAACAGCTGCAGCAAGACCTGAACCACAACGTGAAGACACTTGCAGCTGCCATCAAGGTCGCGGACTCCCAGCTCAAACAGTTGGACGCTCGCATTGCTACTCTGGAGGCAAGGCCTCCCCAAGCAGCGCCAGGCTGCATGACAGACACGACGAAGCAGCTCAACAGGCGCATCGATCATGTCGTCAATCTCATCGGCGACCTAGGTGCTTTCATTGGGCCGGACACGATCAGTAGCATGGTGGCCGCCATCAAGACGGACATCACCAAGCTGTAGACGAGACCGGACACCGCTACCAAGAATTTCAAGATGCCACAGTTCACCATCAGCAAGTTCGACGACTACAACAAGACAGACGCTTTGACATGGTGGCAACGTTTCCTCACGGAAGCATCCTGCCGCACTGTCCCGGCTGAAGACATGTTGAAGGTGCTCTACCTACAACTGATTGGAGGAGCGCAGGCATGGATGAATCACCTGGTGGCCACCAAGCAATGCACCATCGCCGAACTCCACACGCACGTTACGTGGAAGGAGTTCGAGCAGCTATGGTTCACCAGATTCATGGTCCGCAACGTCGTGAAGGCGGCCATGAACGAAGTGTACACTTGCTCATAGAGAAGTATGCCAACTCGAGACTGGACGATTAAGTGGCAGAAGATAGTGACCACGCCAGGCTTCGATTTGAGTTTTACAAACCAACGATCCGAGTTCTTCTCGCGATCATGCGCAGGACTGCGGTCAGCACTCGGCAACGAGTACGACTATACCTCGTTCCAGGCTATTCTGGATCGCGCAAACCTGGTCATCCAAACGGACGACAAGGCCGCTAACGAGAAACAGTCTCCGCCGCACTATGTGGCTAAGCCGGCTTATCAACGACCAACACATAACAATGTTGTGATTTATGAAGAAACAGTCGATCTCCACGCTGCAACAGCATCCTCGAGTGATGGAGGAATTGTAGCAGCGCTCCCGCCGAAGCGTCCCAAGAGAGTTCAGAAGAACAAGGCGACACAAGAGACGGCATCGACGGGAACTGGGCAGCAGCCATGAACGGCATACAAGACAACCAAGGAAGTATTTGACTTACGTCAACGGTACGGTTATTGCCTATGGTGCAATAGTGTCGTACACACTACCGCACAATGCCCGGACAAGGGCAAGGCACGCGTACCACGTCCAACTAACTCGGGAAACTGAGTTAAGAAAGGAGAGGGGCGACGCCTCTCCTCACTCCGCCGGAACCGGTTGCCTTGCTAGCAATCGATGTCACTACTGGGGAGCATGCGTTACTCACTGATTCTCGTGCTACGTACGAGGATTATGCCTCCCAGCTGGTACCACCACTAGACCAGCCAAGCCACGTGCACTTAGATTGCGTATGCGCAGCCTGTACACCGTCGGCAAGTGATCCGGTCAGCTCGCCACTGACTTCCAAGGACTCGACGGCGTGGTCAAGACTTGAGGAGCTTGACCCGCTCACGAGAGAGGACTTCACTTGGATGCCTCTTCCCTCAACCGGAACCTTGCCAAGGCCGCATTGCAATGCCTTGATGGCAAATCTACGCTCCTATTTGCACACTACAGTACCAGCTCCGTTGACAGACGCCGGGGTAGCGGTTGTCGATCTCCGCTCCTATCTTGCGAAGATTGACCGCGAGTACGTCACCCAAAGGTACGCCGAAACCGACGCGCCTTTGCTCTATATCCGCATTCAAATCRGAAAGGCAACCTGTAGTGCCTTGATTGATTGCGGAGCGTCCCGCAACTTTATGAGCAAGCCTTTACGGTCCGCGCAGGCCTTGGCCCGCGTGTTCGAAGGAAGACGCAACCCACGCAAGTTACACTCGCGGAAGGCCGCATGCAAAAGTCGATTGACCGATGCGTCGACGACGTTCCGATATACTTTGCGCCACTTGCGTGCGAGCCGGTGTCTTTTGACATCCTCGACACCAAGTTCGACATGATTCTAGGCATGTCTTGGTTGCGTAGCGCCGATCATCCAGTGAACTTTCATGATCGAACCGTTCACATCCGTGATCGGAACGGAGTGTTAGTCCCATGTACGGTCGCGACCCCTCACACTTCGATTGCTTATCACGTGGTTTTCGTTGCGAGAATTTGCGACGCCATTGCTCGGAATGACGTCGAGGAGATGGGCTTTGTATTCTTGCATGCTCTCCCCTCGCCGGACGGACCAGCCGCGTCACCGCCGGACCCACGTATTTCTCACCTCTTAAACGAGTATAGAGACGTCTTCGAGGCTCCCACCAGAACGGTTCCGGATCGGCCCATACGTCACGGGATCACTCTCGAGGCTGGCGTAGTCCCTCCGCGTGGATGCATCTACGGCATGAGCGAAGAGGAACTCGAGGTGCTTTGCGCACAACTTGATGACCTTCTTGACAAGGGCTGGATTCGCCCTAGTTGTTCGCCCTACGGTGCCCCTGTTCTCTTCGTCCGGAAGAAGAACAAAGATCTACGGTTATGCATCGGCTATCGTAAACTTAACGCACAAACCGTAAAGAACGTCGGCCCTCTCCCTCGGATTGATGATCTTCTTGAGCGGTTAGGCGGCGCGACGTACTTCTCGAAGTTGGACTTGAAGTCAGGTTACCACCTGATTGAAATCCAGCCTCAAGAACGGTATAAGACCGCGTTCAAGACGCGGTACGGTTATTTTGAGTGGGTTGTCATGCCCTTTGGCCTCACCAATGCCCCCACGACTTTCCAAGCAGTGATGACGACTGAGTTTCGTGACTTGCTCGATCGCAGCGTCCTCATCTACCTTGATGACATCTTGGTTTACAGTAGGACGTTGGACGAGCACATCGTACACCTTCGCATTGTTCTGGATCGTTTGCGACTAGCCAAGTACAAAGCGAATCTCGACAAGTGCGAGTTCGCCAAGCAGGAGCTTGAGTACTTGGGTCATTTTGTCACGCCGAAAGACATTCGTCCCTTAGCGGACAAGATCCAAGCCATCGTGGATTGGCCGGAACCCCATTGCACGACGGATGTACGCTCTTTCATGGGTTTGGCTGGATATTATCAGCGATTCGTCGAGTCATACTCGAAGGTGGCCGCTCCTTTGTCGAGACTTCAGTCCATGAAGGTGCCCTTTGAGTTCGACGACGCAGCCCGTGGCGCATTCACTATATTGAAGGCAGCAATGCAAGCCGCACCTGCCCTCCGTATATATGACCCCACCCTTCCCACCCTTCCCACCCAAGTGACTACGGACACTTCGGGATACGGTATTGGTGCAGTATTGGAACAGTGTCACAAGGACGGTTGGCATCCGGTCGAGTAGTTCTCCCGAAAAGTGCCTCTCGTAAACACTCTCGACGACGCTAGGAAGAAAGAGCTACTCGCGCGTCACCGTTCTCAAATGGTGGCGCCGCCTTTTTTCTCGACCGTCGGCGTTTTAAATGGAATACGGACAACAATCCGTTGACCTTTTACAAAACGCAGGATACGGTCACTAGCACGATCAGTCGATGGATATATTACATTGACCAGTTCGACTTTGACCCGTGCCACATTCTCGGTCTCGTCAATCGAGCTGCGGACGCCCTCTCACGACGGTCCGACTTTCGTGCCATTGTGACCACGGCATTCGACCTCGATGATGATCTGCAGCCGCATTTCGTCAAAGGCTACAAGTCCGATCCGACTTACTCTACGCTTTACGCGGAGCTTTCATCGGATCACCCGCCGGCTAGCCACTATCGGATTTTCGACGGGTTCCTTCTCCTTCACACGAGAGGAAATGACTTGTTAGTTGTGCCTCAAGATCGCATCTTACAGACTCGTCTTCTCGGCAAATTCCACGACGCACGACTTTCGGCACACCTTGGCGTGAACCGCACATTAGCACGCCTCCGCCAGCGTTTTCACTGGCCCGACGTCCTTCATGACATCACGAGGTACATTGAGTCATGTGCAGTTTGCCACTGTAACAAGNCATTAGCACGCCTCCGCCAGCGTTTTCACTGGCCCGACGTCCTTCATGACATCACGAGGTACATTGAGTCATGTGCAGTTTGCCACTGTAACAAGGGTCAATCTCAAGTCCCCTTCGGCGAACTGAAACCGTTGCGGATTCCTTGGGCACCGCGCCTCTCCATTGCTATGGACGTGACAGGCCCGTTCCCCCGCGATCGCCACGGCCATGACGGTATTCTCACAGTCTTGACCGTTTGAGCAAGTATGCTCACTTCCTTCCTTGCAAGTATCATGCTGCAGCGCCTGAGCTCGCACGACTCTTACAAACCGGTTGGATTACCAACCAGGGTGTTCCGGAAGACATAGTGAGCGACCGAGATACTCGCTTCATGTCGGTCTTTTGGACTTCCCTCATGGCTGAGTCCGGTACGACAATGAAGCCGAGCTCGGCTCGGCACCCGCAGACGGATGGCCAGACGGAGCAAGCGCACCAGACCGCTCAGATGATGTTGCGTATGCTCATCCGTCCCGACCAGAAAGATTGGGTTGACCGGCTTCCTGACATCGAGTTCGCCTATAACACTTCGGTGCACCCGGCGATCTGCGTCACACCATTTGAGATACATCATGGTGGAGAGAAAGCACGGATCTTCGCTGATCTCCTTTTGCCACAGGCTGCCGACATAGATGTCCCTTGCTCTCCCGCTTCCGTTCGGAAGTACCGGGACTTGCTGATCAAAGCCCGCGYRAATATGCAAAAGGCTCAGATCCGCATGCAGCAGCAGGCTAACCGACGTCGACTTCCATGTCCTTTCCGCGAGGGAGACCTTGTTTGGGTCCTCTCCGAGGAATTTGCGCTCGAGCAGGACGTTTCGCACAAACTCCTTCCGAAATGGTTCGGACCATGGGAAGTCACTTCTGTCGTTGGAGACGCCACCTTCCGCCGACGAGTTTCCCGGCCGTCGATCACAGGATCCGCCATCTATGGACGGACATTAGGAAGTGGACCGAGTCATCACGCACTGCAAGTATGGCAACAAGCCAATGCAGTTCAAAGTCACATTCAAGCAATGTGCGCCTGATGACACTCGGTGGATCTCTAGTGCAGACTTGCAGACTTCTGCACCCCTTATCTTCGCCGACTATGAGAAGCGACGCCTTGCTAAGGAAGCAGCTCGTCCCTCCCAACCCACCCCGGTATCGGACAGACAACTCCGCCCTCGCAGGTAGCTCGGTCTTTTAAGAGGGGGAGTGTGTTACATCTTTGATGCCACACGGGTCCTACCGGACCCGACTTAGGGTTAGAGGGACACAGTAGGGCCTAAAGGCCCGACCTTGGAGGTACTACAGGCCATAAAGGCCTC